AACTCAGAGCCCTGCGCTTGTTATGCAGGTGTTCTACCCCTTGAGCCACACCCCAGCCCTTTTTGCTTTAGCTTTTTTTCACATCGGGTCTCATGTTTGTGCCTGGATCTCTATCTTCCAAGTACTAACCAGGCCTGACTCTACTTAGCTTCCTAAACGAGATGAGATCCAGTGTGTTCAGGGTGGTATGGCCGGACACGTCCCCTGGATTTCTATCCTTCTGTTTACGCTTCCTGGATAAGCTGGGGAGACAGGTGTGCTCTACCACACCAGCTTTTATTGAGACAGAAGTCTCACAAACTTTTTGTCTGGGCTGACCTCAAATTTCAAACCTCTTCATCTCTGCCTCCTGAGTAGCTGGGATTACAAATGTGAGCCAATGTACCAACCTTAAATTAACATTTGTATCATACGTTAGGTTGGCTTTCATTAAGGTCCATCTGTACTGGGAATCAGCTATATCCCCTGACTCTTCCTACCCCAAATACAGGATTGTTTTTTTCTGGGGGCAAGGGAGGACAGTGCTAGCAATTGAACCCAGGACCTTGCATAAACTAGGCAAGTGCACAACCCCATCCTTAGGATATCGTTATCTAAATTTACCAGCAGCTTTCTTTCTTTTCTTCTCTTCTCTTCTCTTCTCTTCTCTTTTCTTTTCTTTTAAGTACTGGAGTTTGAACTCAGAGTCTCACACTTGCTAGGCAGGTGCTCTTCCACTTAAGCCACTCCATAAGACCTGTTTTGTGTTGGGTATTTTTGAGATAGGGTCTCATGTACTAGTTGCCATGGCTGGCTTTGAATCGTGACCCTCCTGATCTCTACCTCCTGAAAAGCTAGGATTATAGGTGTGAGCCACCGGCGCTGGCCTGGCTTCACCAGCAGTTTTCTAAGAACACAGCTTTGGCTACTTTCATCAGGGCATTTCCCAGCTCAGCATCACCTTAACTTTTCCCAAGCTATTTCTGTGTGTGTTTTACAGACTCAATCTCAGCCTTCAGCCCTTCCCCAGGTCTTACCTATTCTATCTCAGAAGTCACTTGGTTGCCTTGGCTGGAGAATACTGCCAGTGTGGAAGATGATAGTGCAAAACCTGCAGGCTCTCCAGGTGACAGAATCCAGAGCAGGGGGTGGATGCTGGGAGAAACCAGGAGCAGCATCCTCCTTCCAACCAAAAGATGAGCTGTTCAGGGAGGAAGAATGTGAACGGCAAAGAAAGGGTGAGGAGATTTGAAGGCTAACCAACCTCTCTCAGCAGTGGTCCAGAGGGCCTTAACCTATAGGGGGAGGTCCTGCCTGCTTTTCCTGGTTCCCCTAGAGATGCCACCGAAGCCCAGACATTGAGCCCATCAGTGCGCTCTGTATAGCCTTGCCAGCCTCTGTACCCCTCCCTTCATGGTGCCGTCCCCACTGGCTCTACCTAAGCATGAGGGTACTCGGGAGAAACAGCCACACAAGGACTCCTCTCTGGGCCTCCTTGGCTATTTCTCATAGCAACCAGGGTCCCCCATGCCTAACTGTCCCCATCTTCATCCTTATCCCAGTGCTGCAGTCCCTCTCTTGCTCCCCTATCTGAAGACTTCAGTGATGTACAAGATCGAGTGTGGTTCATGCCTGTAATTCCAGCTACTCAGGAGGTTGAGGTGGGAGGATTTCAAGTCAGAGGCCATTCTGGGCAACAGAGCAAGGAGAACTTGTCTTAAAAAAGAAAAAAAAGGGGTGTGTATGTGTGGAGGGGGAGAGGTAAAGGCACTTTCCTCTTGCCCCTAGCCCAACAGGAATGGTCTGTGCGAAGGAATTCTTGCTGCTTCCTCAGCCCCTGAAATGACATTCCCAGGACGTAGCATAGGGCAGGAAGGTATATGGAGTTAAGTGGACTTGGAATATTTGGGTTGGGAGATCACACTCCTTTCCTTCCTTCCCCCCCTCCCTCTTTCTCTCCCTCCCTTTCTTTACTTCTTCCCTCTCCCCCTCCCTCCCCTTTTCTCCTTCCTTCCTTAGTTCCTTCCTCCCTCTTTCCCTCTCTCTTTCTCTCCCTCTCTTTTTGGTAGTACTGTGGTTTGAACTCGGCCTTGCACTTGCTAGGCAGGCACTTTACTCCTTGAGCCATGCCTCCAGCCCTTTTTGCTTTAGTTGTTTTCTGGATAGGGTCTCACATTTTTGCTTGTGTCTGATCTCAGAACGTGATCCTCCTACCCTATGCCTCTTGTTTAGCTGGGATTACAGGTGTGTGCCACCATGCCTGGCTTAACTACTGAGTTCTTTCTGCAGGTCAGCTTCTGATTCTCTGAGTAACCTCAAAATCTCACTCAAGTCTGGCTTGTACATTGGGTTGAGAAAGGAGGAGAAAGGAGAAGATGTGGGGCCATTACAATATGAGAGGAAAAATCCCAAACTGCAAGCAGAGCAGTAACCAAAATGTTTGCTTCCACTTATCAGACTGTAGGGCTGAGGCATGGAGAGGGTAAAAGATGAGGGTCCATAGCTGGGAGTGGAGGGCTGGGGACCAAATGTGGCCTGGAGGACAATTTTAGAGATGTGTTTAAAGCATAGCAATCCTGAGGATGGAGTAGGGGCTAGGCCACTAGAGAGCATGGAAGGAGAAAGACAGAGTAACTGAGAGAACTCTGAGGATGAGAATGGACATTAAACTGGGTGTGGTGGTGCACACCTTTAATCCCAGCATTCAGGAGGCTGAGGCAGGAGGATCTCAAGTTCAGGGTCAGCCTGGGCTACATAGTGGACCCAGTGTCAAAAAAACATTTAAAAAATTAAGAAGGGGAAGATGAGATAAAGGAGAATGATGGAGGTGAATTTGATCAAGATATATTGTTAACATTTTTGTAAATGTCACAATGTGCCCCTAGTACACTAATAAAAAAACTAAAGAGTTCATTTATATCCCATGCAGTGTGTCACATGCTTCTCTACACTAACTCATGTACCTCTTACAATTCGAGGCTGAATCTATGTCCCCACTGCCATCATTTCATAAAGCAGGGAAGTGATGTTGAGTTGTTGAATGAGATTAAAAACCTTTCCCAAATGGACTAGGGGTGCAGCTCAAGTGGTATAGTGACTGCTTGGCAAGCTGGAGGCTCTGAGTTCAAAACCCCAGTAACCAACAAAAGCAAAAAACCTAAACAAACAAAAAAAAACCTTTCCCAGAGTAATAACTCCTAGGTGGCAGAGCCAGGTGCTAGGTCTTGCTCCTAACTCTTCTGTATTATCCAGCTTGGTCTCACACCAAGTACTAATCTCTTCAGACCTGTAATTTTCTGGGGTGGAGCAAGAACTTGAGAGTCTGCCCATGTCCAGGGGTAAGGGAATTATCATAATGTGTGATGCTGAGCCCAGAGAGCTGACCAGAGCAAAATATGTCAGCACTCCTGTGGTCAGACCCTTTCCTCTCCCTGCTCCCACGCCTTCCCCCACAGTGGCAGAGAGGTCAGGCAATTCCAGGGGGCTGGTTCTTCAGCACCTCACTCTGTTGCTAAAACCTGATGTCCTACAACATGTATCTGCTGAGCACTACAGTCACAGGCCTAGGACTGAAGGGTGGTCATGACTCACCCTAGAGCAGGGAGCAGGACTGGGTTGTAGTCCAGTGGTAGAGCACTTGCCTAGCATCCCCAGCACAGCAAATATTAGTAATAATAATAATAAATCAATTCTCATGCCTGAAAGCCAGAACCTAAATGAAAGTTTGTGAAACACTAGATTGACTCACCCAGAATCAAGTCAGGGTTCTTGCCCTGCTCTAGGCTCACTGGGAACTACACCTGTGAGTGGATTTGATCTGAAATGCAGAGGGAGAGGCAGCACAAGCTGTAGCCTTAGATTTTGCTGCTAAAGGATCCTAGGTAATGAGGCCTGGGGAAGTGGAAGACCTACCTAAGCCCACACACCCAGGTTAGTGGCAGAGCTGGACTGGGGGCCAAGCCTCTGGGCTCCTTCTACAACTCCAGGCTCTTTTCACTTTGCTGCCTTCTTGGGAGACGGATGAAAGAACTCCCATTCTCGGAGGAAATATAGGGACCTGGCCACAGCACAGTTATACTTAAAGACAAGGTCTGGATACTTTGAGTTCCAGCCTCCCAATTCAGAACCCAGGTGGTGGTAAGTAATCTACAACTGTTCGACTGCTGGGTGCCCTTCATTTGGTCGTGCATCTCCACCAGCTCTCTTAAAGCAAGATTTAGTAGCCACGCTGGACGAGGAAGTCACAGCCTGACAGGTTGAGTTCTATTTCACTTCTGCTGGTTGGTCAACTGGTCAAATCCCTTTTATCCTATCCAATCTACTTGTCTATCAGACACATGAGAAAAATCCTCCCTTCTCTGAGAGGGCTAGAGCCTTAGGAGTGGCCTGTGGCCCTTATCAGCAGAAAAGAATGGGAAATTTTTGTAAAGTGGAAGCCTGGTTGGGGATGTAGCTCAGTAGTAGTGTTTGTCTAGCATGCAAGAGGGACAGAGTGACCTATTTGGCTGCAAAGCAAGAGTAACCATGTTGAGAAACACGAGCTCCTCACGTCCTTCCAGGACTGCTCAGGTTCCAGGTTAGTTTTCTTCACTGGTCTCCTTCCCTGGTTAAAATTCTCAACTGGGGGTGGAGGAGTTGAGGCACACTGCTGATCCTGAGTTTCTCCCCTTTGAAGGATTGTGTAGGGCCATCTATAAAAGTGTGTTCCCTCCACAGTCCTTAGGGAGTAACTCTTGCCATAGGGAAAGGCAGCCAATTCCTCAGGCACCTCCGTGCTATGCCCCACATGCCTGAAGGGTGAAGTTAAAGCAAAATGCAAGGGAGAGAGCCCACAAGATAACTGCTTCTGTTTTCATCCCCTACCTGCCCAGCTGAGAGCTGCTTGCCCTCACCCCCTACTGCTGACAGCCCACTGTCATCTCCACTGTGGAGACAGAAGAGAAGGTAGGAAGGTGACTAAGTCAGGAGGGTTGAGTTGAATAGGGAAAGATGGAAAGTACAGCCAGAATCCTACTCGGTCTTTTTTTCCATTCTCCTTTATTCCATAAACACCTAGTTACAAGTTGCACAAATCAAAAAATAAAGGCAGAGACGGGTGTACAGATTTTTGTGAAGTATATGGGGGTGGGAGGAGGAGGGAGAAAGAGTTGGGAACCAGTCCACTCCCTCCATAGCCCCAACAGGGCTATGTCTCCTGCAGCAGGGGCTCTGAGGAAGAGGAGAGCAGGGGTCCAGGCTAGCTGAGGGATGAAGGAGGTCCCTGAACCCACAGCTCACCCCAAAAGACCCTTCAATGAATGGCAGGGGAACAATGTGGGGAAGATGAGGAGGTTCAGAGATAGAGCAGCAAAATGAAAAATCAAGTTAGTGGATACAGGACACATGGAGTCAGCATGGTAAGGGGATTAAAGATGGAAAAAAGGAGGTCAAGGGGGGCAGTGAAAGGTTCTCCCTGAGACCCCCAGGGAGAGGTGGGGGCCAGCTTGCCTGTTAATTTAATATTAAATTGGAGGTGGGAGTTGGAGAGGAAAGTTATTTCAGGGGATGATTTCTCAGCCTCTCAGCCTGTACCTGGAGGAGGAAGAAAGATGAGCACACGTCAAACAAAAGAAAAAAACATAAAAACCCGAGGTTGGGGTTGAATCCCGTAGTGCAGGGAGAGCAATTTTCTCTCAGTGACAGCTAGAAGTTTATTCTAGCAACAGCAGTATTAGCTGTGAACCTGAGAGGCACGTAGCTCTGCCCCACCCAGTCCCATTCCTACCCCAACTTCAGGTCACTTACAAGAGAGGCTGAGGGCCTAGGGCCTTCACCAGTCATAGCGGCGGGACTGTCGGGAGGGGGAGTCCTCAGGTCCCTGGATAGCCAAGCGGGGAGGGCCTTCGGCCCTTCGACCCCCACTCACAGATGCCTCATGCCTCCGAAATTCCAGAGGGCGCTGCTGCCGGAACCGGGATGTCTCCCTCCTCCACTCATCATCGAATGCTGCTGCCTCACCTGAGGAAGACACAGAAAGTAGATATGGAATGGCCTGGTGCTAGAGGCAGGTGCTACAGTGAGCCATAGCTTTCTAAGATCAAAAACCGGGGGGGGGGGGAACAATAAAAAACCTCGACGAGGGCTGAGAGGATGTATGTGGGGATGGGGACAGAGGACAGCAACTTCATTGAGCTTGTTGAGCTTCAACATGGTCCCTGGACACCACTGGCAGGCCTAAGGTATGACTACTGGAGAAAGAAAAGAGCAACTATACACATTATAGGTATTTAATAAATATTCAGACTTGACAAGATGAGATGATGTCAGTGACAAGGTTTGTCCCTCCTCGGTGAGGAAACTGTCAATACCTAACTCAACCCCAAGGTGACAACAAAGACTCCAGCATGGGGCTCACCCATAAGAGATACATGAGGAGGAGGCAGGGGGGGTCCTAATCTAGCTCACAGGAGCTGAGCTAGGGGCTGCTGGCCAGAAAGTGGGGAGGTGGTCTCACTCTCATCCAGGTTGATGTAGTCCTGTCGTTCCTCCTGGTCCCCTGTGCGGTGGTTTCGGGAGCGCTGGAGGATGTGAGCCCTGTCCCGAATGTGATGCCCGATGGACATCTGCTCCAGTCCACTGTCCGAGTCCCGGACAGTCCTCCTTGTCTCCCGGATCTGGGATGAGGCAGAATATGGCACATTCAGTTGCCCCTTCCAAAGTCCTGGCTACATCATCCCAGGATGAACACACCTGCCATGACATGCCTCCTCTGAGACACAGCCCCCTACTCACCCCGCCTGGTGCTGAGCGCATCTCTGATGTTTCCTGGTAGACCTTGGGGGCACCATCCCCAGTATTGGAGTAGGAGATGACAGTGGAGGAAGAAAATGTCTGGCAATTGCCTCCAGCTGTCATGTGTTCCTGAGGAATAAAGAAAAGGGTAGGATGAATGGGGAGAGGTCCCCTCTAGATGAAGGATCTCCCCTTTAAGTTCCTATTCATGCCCACAAAAATAAACCATCATTACCCCCGAATTTCTGAGTCCAACACTACACAAAGAAGGACCGTCAGAGAAAAAGCCATAATTGCACACTTAATCAGAGCGCCGCTGCCTCTTCACATGCAGGCACAAGAACAGACACAGGACCCCAGTGCTCTTATTCAATTGCTTCATCCAGCTCTGCCTCTTCCCTAGCACACTCCTCCCACTCCTGTTTCAGGGGATAAGCATTTCTGGTCATCACTGAGAACAAGGCTGGGGAAGAATATGGGACGAGTGTCTCACCATGTTCCCAATCATGTCGTTCATCATCCCAAACATGTCCATGAAGCCACCCGACTGAGGAAAGGGATGGAAGACAAAGTTAGGAAGACAAAGTTAGTACTCAGGGGTGATGCTGACCACCTGGCTATACCCTTTCTCTTCTTCCTGTACTTCCAGCAACTGCTCTTCCTTTTCCTTAAACTTCCAGCCTCCTCCTCAGACTCTGTGGCTGCTCTGATTCAATTTTCCTTCTTGTGACTGCCCTATTTCTCCCATCTTTAGGAAATAAGCCAAAGTTAATGACTCCAACCTCTAAACAGGCAGGGCATGAAAGTGTGAAAATCTACTAAACTCCATCTCCCTGATCCTTCAGCAGCATCTCTCACCTCAAGAGAACACGGTTCCATCTTCCCAATGGGGGACCTCAGGAACAGGCTATATCTTTAGTTCACAAGACTCCTAGCACCTAACCAGCTCTGAGCTTTGTGAACTTTCCAAAGATTCTGGGACCACCCAGGAGGCTATTCCAAATGGCACATTTGGAAATAACATCCAAGGTTACAGTGTGTGTCTGAAATAGAGGGACTCACCATCCCCAGCATCCCAAAGGGAGAGACAGCCCCAGCCTGTGGGAACACACAAGGAACACAAATTAGAGACCACATTCTGTCTCCCCACAATCCCAAGCAAGGCCCATGGCCTCCATTCTTTTCCCACCTCCTTTCCAAAGGGGTCACAATTCCCTTTTTCTGGGCCCTTGCCCCACTCCTAGAAGATCATGTCACTTACTAAGTTGGTTGTAGAGCAAGAAAAGCAATGTGCTTTTCTAACACCTGCCAGACTTTCTCTGGGTCTCAGGTATGTTTTGGCATTGTTACCTGCATCCTACGGCTGGCAGGCCTGGTCGCTGGCATGTTGCCATCTGTGATGCTGAGGAAGGGGCTATATCCAAAGCCACCCGACAACATGCGGCTCATATGCTGACGATGAATAGCGAAGGGGTCCCTGTGGAGTGCACACACAGTATGGATGGCAGAAGGGCCAAGCAATCAAAACTCGCATCCCTCTCCAGCCCAAAATAAGTCACAAGGCACACAGTAGCACAGATGCCCACTTCCCTCTAAGTGGGAGCTGCAGCTGAGTATCCAGCCAGTTTCAACCAGTTCCAGTCTGGGAAACCCAGATGTCTGTCTGAACTGCTCAGAGACCTAGACCTAAGTGGAGTGGGATGAGCTCCCTAGAGCTCAAGGGGGAGGGAATTCTCACATCAGGAACATGGGATCCTCGGGCTCCACGTCCCTCATGAAGCGGAACATCCTGATCTCAGCTCCAGGGGGCTCCACACTGTAAAGATGGGGAGGCTCAGTTACTAGAAGGCGGACAGGCTTTTGCAGACCCACTCAGCACTGTCCCCTCCAAAGGCTGTCCACTGACCCCCCAACTCCAGGGAGACCCTTCTCGGTGTTCCATACAACCCCTCAGGGGAAAAGGGTCTCTCCAAACCCCCTCTCTCAATTAGGAACGTGGGATTTTTTTCTCAAGCTTCTCAGTGCCCCCCTCGTCCCTCAGCCATTCTCTTCCCATAACCAGGCCGGGAGCACCCTCGCCGTTCCTCCCCCGACGCCAGTCAGGATGAGAATCCCCCGCGTGCCGGCCCTCCGAGTCTCATTAATGACCCCAACCACCCCGCCCTCTCCTGGCACCGGCCGCTGCCAGGCCTCCCCTGGGCGGGCCTCACTGCCCACCGCGGCTGCCCCAACTCCTGCCTCCCGCCGGGCGAGCGGGCGAGGAGGCCCGAGCCTCCCCTTCCTCCCCGCACGCCAGGCTCGCAGTCCCTGCAGCCCCGCGGGCCCGCGCCGCTCCAGCCTCACCGGTCCCCGACCCGGGTTCAGCGGCCCATCCGGCCGGTTTCGCTTCTCGGTGCGCTGCAGGAGCAGAGTCGCGGCCCGGGACACGGGGATTGGTTTGGGCGTGAGCTCCTCGGCCTCCCGCGCCGCCTCCTCCCTCAGCTGCCACCTCGTACCCCCGCCCTCGGCCCGAGGAGCCTAACCTCGGTCGGGCCCGGGCGGAAGTGACGTCACGAAGCACCGCCCCAGGGCCGGGCCGCGGGAGCCCCGCCCGCCGGCGTCGCGGGGAGGGGGACACGCAGGGAGGGGAGGGGGCGGAGCGGACCCCGGGCCGGGGGGGTAGGGGTGCGCGGAGCCGATTCCCGGCGGGTGGGTCCTCTGGGGACTAGGGCGGTAGGCCTCATTAATAAGCCGGACGTGGATTCTGGGGACAGCAAGAAGTTCTGGTGAGGATCGGGGAGGAAGAGAGGAATAGGTCCTCGGGAGGGACTGGAATGAGGCGAGATGAGGGGACAGGGCGTGCAGCACTTTCCCTCGGGAAAGAGGACAAGGGGCAGACTCAGGCGCGCTCTCTGTGGGCGACGAGATGGGCGGATCCCTGGGGAACCTTTAAGCAGAAGGTCTACCCGAGGAGCGTTTCGCCAGAGAGGAAGGACACCATTTCTGCGAGGGAGGCGCGGGAGGAGGGACGCTCCGGCGGGGCGGGGACCACGGAGTGACGTAGAGGAGGAGGAGGAGACAACTTTCCTGCTGGTCTAATTGGAGAAGTCTGACTGGGGCAAAGAGAATTCAGATTGGGGGATCAGCCACCAGATGGCGCTCTTCAGCCAGATTGGACCTTTAGCCCCTCGGGAATTGGTATCCTCCGGGCTCTTGGACTGCGCCCGACCGGACCGTGAAGGGCCAGACTGGGCAAAGGCTCTAGTTCTGAAATGTTAGGTTTGGGTGGGGTTTTTGCTAGTTTGGGTGCTGGGGCTTGAACCCGGGGGCCTCCAGCATGCCAAACATAAGCTCTACCACTGAGCTACCTTCCTGCTCCTAAAATGTTTTAGTTTAGTCCCTTTTTCTGTAAGTCTTGTGTCCTCAAAAGCTCCTAGTCCTGCACTGATCCTTTTTGCTTCTAGTCAGGTACTAATCAGGTAGGTAGGTCAAGGGCCCAAAGTTTGGTAGAAGCGAGGGGTGGAGAGCTCAATTAACCAGAATCACCCTGGGGCAGAGCAAAAACTGGGCCCAAGAGGCCAGAGTCCAAGGCCACAGACTGATACTTTGACATACTAAATGTCTTACATAAAATCTGGCTCTGCTGGAGAGGAGGGCCCTCCCCTTTGGGGTCAGGGGATTTGAACTGTATGGGGTAGACTTTGAACCAGACTCATCCAAACTTCAGCTCTCTCTGCTTCTTTGCTCTGGCCCTTACCCACGTTAGTACTGCGTAGAGCCTGACCTAAAGAGAAAGACTTGTTCCCTGGCAGTTTCCCCGGGGGAGGAGGAATTGAGAGGGTCCCTGGTGACTCAGGAAAAAGTGTTGGGAGTTGAGCCTGACCCTCTCAGGTTTCTTTGGTTGGTCACTACTAAAGAGGAAAAAACAATAGTGGCGACAGGAGGAACAGAGGCAGACTGGCAAAGTCAAAGGAAAACCACTGGCTCAAGTGGTATAGTGCTTGCCTAGCAAGCAGAGACCCTGAGTTCAAGCCCCAGTATTGCAAAAAGAAGAAGAATGAAAATACAATAAAATTTGTTTTTCATTGGTATTTGAGGGGAAGACTTAGTAAAAACTTTAAAGTTTCTCTGGACATCTCACTATGCAACTGCCTTGCCTCAAAAGAAAGCAGTTTGACATGTGATCAAGAGTTACCTCAGAGCCAGGCACTGGTGGCTCACGCCTGTAATCCTAGCTGCTCAGGAAGCAGGGATCAGGAGGATCATGGTTTGAAGCTAGTCAGGTCAAATAGTTCTAGAGACCCTATCTTGAAAAAATCCATTAAGGTATAGCCCCTGAATTCAACCCCAGTACCGGAAAAAAAAAAGTTTACCTCAGGCTGAGTGCTGGTGGCTCATACCTGTAATCCTAGCTACTCAGGAAGCAGAGATCAAGGGGATTGTGGTTTGAAGCCAGTCTGGTCAAATAGTTTGCAAGCCCCTATATTGAAAATGCCCAACACACAAAAAAAAAGGGCTGACAGAGTGGCATGTCTGCCTTGAAATCATGAGGCCCTGACTTCAAACCCCAGTCCCACCAAGAAAAAGAGCTACCTCAGTGTCATTGAGGGTTCTGTCCCCTCCTTGACTAAGGAGATTCTATCCAAATTTTTTTTTTAGTTTTTTTCTCTTTTTTTTTTTTTGGCAGTACTTGGGTTTGAACTCAGCTCTTCACACTTGAAAGGCAGGTACTCTGCTGTTTGAGCCATGCCTCCAGCCCTTTTTGCTCTGGTTATTTTGGAGACAGGGTCTCCCTTTTTGCCCAGGCTGGCCTGGACTGTGAGCTTCCTATTTTAAGCTTCTTACTATTGCTGGGAAGATAGGCGGGCACTACCACACCCAGCTTTTTTTCATTGCAATGTCTCCCAAACTTTTTTTTGCCCAGGCTGGCCTAGAACTGAGATCCTCCAGATCTCATCCTCCTGCTTGGGATGACAGGCAAGTACCACCTGACCTAGCTGTTGATTTAGATGGGGTCTCTCAAACATTTTCCCCTGGGCTAACCTGATTTCAGCCTTGCAAGTAGCTAGGATTACAGGCATGAGCCACTGGCACTTGGTTCCAAAGCAGGTTTTTATTGTTCAGTCAACAAATGTTTAATGAGGCTGTGCACTGCCCTAGGTACATTGTACTAAATGTAAATAGAAAAGGATGACACAGCCCCTGCTAACTTGAGGCATACAAGCTTTTAGTATCCTTGTTTATTTTTGATAACCTGGTATCCTGTACTTACTTCTTTTAGGTGCCTGGAGCCCTTTCTCTTCTTCCTTCCAAAACATAAAAATCCCTAATCAGTCATTTTTTATGCAGAACTTTTTATTTATTTATTTTTGGTGGGACTGGGGTTTGAACTCAGGACTTCCCACTTAAAAAGCAGGCACTCTACCACTTGAACCACACCTCCTTATCAGTCATTTTTACCTTTGTGTGATTTTAAATCAATGCATTACTTCTAGGAATATTTACAAATTACAACTTATTATCTAACTATGAGACAGAGCTTGAAATCTGGGTTTTGTACCAACTTTAAAAATTCTTGTGCTTGGGATGTGGCTTAACTGGTAGAGCACCTGCCCAGCAAGTGTGTGAGGCCCTAAGTTTAATTCCCAGTACTGCCAAAAAAAAAAAAAAAAAAAGTAAAAACAAAAATTTCTAAACAGGAGGGCTGGGAATTAACTCAGCAGTAGAGGGCTTACCCAGCATGCTCAAGAACCAGGGTTTGCTCCCCAGTACTAGGAAAAAAAAAACCCTGAATAGGTGGGGATGAGCAAGATATGTGAGCTCATTTTCAGCCTCCAAGAATTGGAGAGATAGAATTTTATTTTATTTATTTATTGTTTATTTTTGCAGTACTGGGCTTTGAGCTTAGTACCTACACCTGAGCCACTCCACCAGTCGTCCTTTTTTGTGATGAGTTTTTTTGAGATAGGGTCTCTCTAACTATTTCCCCAGTGGCTTTGAACCGTGATCCTCCTGATTGTCTCCTGAGTAGCTACGATTATAGGTATGAGCCACCAGTGCCTGACCAAGAGATATAATTTTATATATAAACAGAGTTTGTGTCTGTCTTCCTTCTCCTCCTTCCCTCTCCTCCCTTCCTTGCCCTCCTCACTCCTTCCCCTTCTTTTCTCTTTCTCCCTTTCTTTTTGTCCCTCTCCCCCTCCCTGCTGTGTCAAATGAATTGTGAACAGAAGTTCCTTAATCTTTGGAGTTTCCCGTAGATCATATGATGAAGGAGGGAGAGCAGGCCCTGCCAGGGCTTAGGAGGATAAGGATTGCTGGGAAGGAAGAGCACCAATGTTACACCTATATTCGCTGTTCCTTCTGATGGAGCCAAAGTCAGGAAGCCTTGGAGAAGGTAGAGCTGGGCCAGAGAAGAAGGCCCTCTTTAGATGTGAGGTCACACATCTGGAACAAGCCCGGGGCAGCTGGGTATTTGAATGGAGTGAGGGTGGAGCAATGATGTTGTAAGTAGGGAAATTATATCATTCTGTATTTTAGGTAGAAAGGCAGTTGATACATTTTAGGAAACATTTTTGAGATTCTACAATCTCAATAAGCCAACTATGAAGATAGGTGCAGAAGGCACAAAAATCTTTAAATCATGATTGAAAACCATAAGGATTTTAAGCTTAGTCAGTGAGTGATGTTGACCCTCTGAGTAGTGGCAGCACTGAAGGAGTATGAGGCTCTTGGAAGGAAAGGAAAAGTCTAGGCATGGCTGAAAACAGGGAACCATCCACTGAGCTAGGAGACACAAGGAGATTTCAGCTGGAATATGTTAGTTTGATGAGCTGAGGAGCATCCAAGGAGAGAACAAAGGGAATTGGAGTCATGACTGGAGTTCAGGGGAGAAGCCAGTGCTGAAGATTTGAGAGTCACCAGTGTTTTAAGAATGTGGTTACCCAGTGGGACTTCAAACCATGGGAGTGCATGATGGACTAGCTTAGGGAGAGTACAAAGAATTAGGACCTCTGAGACTGAAGAACCTGGAAGGTTTTTGCCAACACTGTCACTGTATCCTCCCAGTTACTAACTCTTCCCTCAGTCTTTTACCTTCTGTCACTCCTATTTTCCATAGCCTTTTCATTTTCTAGTATACTAGTTCCCTGTGTCTGTCACACAGTCTATGTAATTTGTGAAAACTTTGAACAAACACACACCTATGGTAATGTATATGATAACAGTGGCCCAGAGTTGCTCTCTGACTTTCTAATTACAGATCGCTGGGGTTAGAGGTGAAAAAGGAGGCCATTTAGAGGCCAGGGATACAGCTCAGGATGTGCTTGCCATGCACAACGCCCTGGGTTCAGTTCTCAGTACTCCCCTGCTTCTACCCAAACAACAAAACAAAAACAGTCAGTTTGAGCCAAGGTCTAAAGTTCTGTTGTCCAATATAGTAGCTATTTAAATTTAATTAAATTAGGACTGAGATTGTAGCTCAATAGTAGAATGCTTTCCTAGCATGCGCAAGGCCCTTGGTTGATCCATTGTATGTTGAATAATATTAATACTAATACTATTA